TGGCAGGTTCAGAGAGAGTTTAAGTTACAGTTGTCATATAGAGCGGGAGAGAGAGTGAGAATCAAAGAGTTTTAGCAAGTTTAGTGAGTATAAAAATTACACTAACAAAGCTAGGAGATTAAACAAATCTAATATAAATGTTAAAATAACTATAATCACTGGGAGATCTAGTAAAAAACACTAAACACACTAACCCAGCGGTTAGACTAAGCTTTGTTAATAAACAAACACAAAACACTCGCAAAAAATCACAGAATAGACAAAAATTCAGAGCACAAGAGTAAACACAACCGTTCACAAGCGACGCTAAATCGACATATGAAATATAAACAAGGAAGAACGCTGTATTCGAGTACCTTGACTATCAGATACCCGTTACTCAGCTAAATAGAGATATGCCACCTACCGGCGGTATACAGAATTAAGCGTTATAGGCGTTAGAATGGGCGTGGCAAATTTTTTTTTGGATCAATCGATAGGTATTGACGAAACCAATACATTTCAGTTAAAATTTTTTATCTAGCATGAAAATTGTGGGCGTCGCAGGTTTTCGCTGTTTGTGGGCGTTAAAGTGGGCGTGGCAAACTTTTTTTTTGGTCAATCGATAGGTATTGATGAGAACAATACATTTCAGTTAAAATTCTAGCATAATAACTGTAGGAGCCACAGCTTTGGGCGGTTTGTGTTATGAATGCCGTAGCAAGAAATGCTTGTTCCTTAGTAAAGCAAGTGCTTACTCTTACCCTTTTTTCGGTCGAAACATGAAGCATAGTGTAATGTGGTTTTTGGCAAATTGAACATAAATATTCAGAGTTACACTTCCTGAAAGAAGATAGATTAAAGCATCTATTGCACAAGCTCTGTTTTCGGATAAATTCCCATTCGTTCTATCGGACTCATTCATCTAAATTTATAACTATTTGTTACAAAGTGTCCAACCATTTTACAAAGTAGACAACTTTCCTTATCAGTGTTATTTACCACCACTAAAAGCTTTCTTCTCATCATTTAGTGATGAGCTAAGAGAACAATCACGTTGCTCTAATAACTCCATTACATCGTTAAGTAATTAAATTTCCTTAGTTTTTTTATATGCGTTTCATATAAGCGCTTTATTGAATTTTCGGATAATATTGTGAGCGAAAATCACTTCAACATCCTCTTTTGTCTTTATTAAATGAATTGATTCATTTATTGAGTCAATAAACCATTTAGTTTGTTTTGCTGAATCATTGTCTAGAATGGGCAAATCGATCAAACGATTCAGGTGATCAGAGAATATTTTTCTCTTATTTTCAAACCGCTTGGTTAATAGTTCCCAAGCGCCGTTATAATTTTCGGCAGAACTTGACCGCAAGTGAGCAACCATACTCCTTTCCTCGCCTTTAAGAGCGGTTTTCTCTGTTATAAATTATTTCTTTAAATAATTCAGAAAAATGTCCCACCCTTTTCCTTCTCCAGTACAGGTGGGAACTTGTATTTTTGGTAATACAGGAAGGTCATAAACTCTATCCTATCATCGGAAGACTTCATCCTTTCGTCTAGGATGTTTCAAATGCTTTATCGTCAAATTCTAGTTCTTTGACGGATTCGTCGAAAAATTTGTTATTATCATGTCTTTTGAAAAACTTCTTTATTTAAGAGTCTGTTCTACTCCATAAAAATTATATTTTTTTAGCTCTAAATATGCATTCCTCACGGCTAGCCTTATTGAGCTCCTGAATGGTTTCCAATAAATAATTTTTTAATTGTTCGACATTTTTGTCGATTTGTGTGGGTCACTTTCTGCTTTCTTTTCTATTTTAGTATCAGAAATAACTTTAAGGCTCGCAAATTTTCTTTTAAAAGTTTCAACAACCTTACAAATTTCTTCAAACAACTTGTTGTTAAAGTAGTCATGATCGACTACTCCACATTTTAGCAATGATGCCTGATTTGCAACAAATCTAGCTTTGATGCTATCTAATTTAGTAATTCTTTTACTGGTTCATTGACCTGCTTTAATTACACTAATTTCTTTAGTCAGACTTGCTTGTGCTTCAAGGAGCAACATCTCGGACAACATTTTAATATTATTTAGTCTATGGTATTAAAAGGTTATGTTTGTAAAAAAAATGTTAACTTATCTGCTGCTTCCGTTGGGGTTGTTTAAAGATGAAATTTCTGCTTCGATGTCGTCTGCGAGATTTGGTTTTTGCTGCTTCGATGTCGTCTGTGAGGTATGGTTTGTTGCTGCTTCGATGACGTTGTTTTTATTTTGATTCTACTGCTTCAATGTTGTCTGCGAGATTTGGTTTTGCTGCTTCGATGTCGTTTATTTCGTTGTACTGCTTCGATGTCGTCAATTTTGTTGTTACTGATTCGATGTGGTTGTTTATTATATATATATTTCTTTTATTTTAACCACCTTGTGTTCGCGCTATGGAGTTCGTCCTTAAATTTTTTTTTTTTTTTAAACGCTGTTTTTACTTAACCGAACACTTTTTATACCCTTGCGAAGGATATATTGATTTCAGTCAGAAGTTTGCAACGCAGTGAAGGAGACGTTTCCGACCTCATAAAGTATATATATTCTTGATCAGCATGACTAGACGAGTCGATATAGCTATGTCCGTCTGTCCGTCTGTCCCTCCGTTTCTACGCAAACTAGTATCTCAGTATTAAAGCTATCGTGCTAAAACTTTCCCAAAAGACTCATATCTTTGGCAGGTAGTATATAAGTCGGAACCAGCCGGATCGGACAACTATATCTTGTAGCTCCCATAGGAATAATCGAAAAAAATTTTTTTTTATAATTATATCTTTGGTGTTTTTTAACATATAACCTCCTATTAACATATAACCTCCTATTTTTTAATTAGTTTTGAATTTCGAATAATATTTTATCAAAATCGGACGACAAATTATATCTTTGGTGTTTTTTAGCATATAACCTCCTAAGCTTGAAAATAACATTTTTTAATTAGTTTTGAATTTCGAATTTAGTTTTATCAAAATCGGACGACTATATCATAAAGCTGCCTTAGGAACGATCGAAAAATTGGTGGGAATATAATATGAAACAAATTATAGCTTCGGTGTTTTTTAACATATAACCTGTTCGTACCCAAAGCTACTCAACATGACCACACCCAACAAATCAAGCAGTAGCCAAGCTGGAAACAGTACCAGGCGCTCAGTAGCACCCACTGCATATGAGAATTGCTGATCAGCATATTATATGTCTCACTAACTCACCGTCTCACCGACTCAACGGCACACTGACCGGCCAATGCAGTCAGCACATTTTGCAGTGTCTGCCAAGCCAATTGACAAACTGCTGCTATAATCAAAACTCCCTGACCTACCTACCTACTTTAGAATATAGCGCACTTCACTAATCATTACACTAAACTTTCGTCTTCCAAGTAGTATATAAACATGTACCAAATGAAGAATAAATCAGTTAAATCAGGCGCTGGTTTAAAAAACTCTGGTGGAGGAAAACTTCAGAGTGCCTCGAAGGACCAACATGTAAGAACTGTCTAAATGAAAGACGTCCACATTTGTTGAGTTATAATTTCAAACTGATTTTATTTTATATAAGTTCTAGCTTATAAAGGTTACATAAGATTCTTACAACTGCTTATATATAGACCGACGCGTTACGAGGGTAATGTTGTGACTCGAGCGGGGGATCATTCTAAGTAAGATAGGCGGCATTTCTGCTTCCCGATAGCACTTATCTCTAAATATATGCTACAACCCCTCGCAGGAGGTCAAGTATTTATCAAGTGCTGAAAGGGCACAGATATTTTGATTCACAGACTGGAACTTTTAGATTTAGGTAAACAATGTGATCTTATATATAATATCATTTTCATGTGTGAACAGCAGGGCTGCGTCTTATGCGCTGTTCCATGCACGTCCAGATTGTTTCAGCCCATATATTGATTTACGTAACTTAAAGACGAAGTTGGGGGTGCGATTGTCAACAAAGTTTAAAGGTTGTTTCAAATATACATCTTCATGAAGCTCGGCATTCAAGTATTCATTTTATATTATAACCTGATGCATGTTCAGCTGCTTTTTTATGGCTACATCGAATGGCATTCGTAGAGTGTCATATCGAATTACAGGAGAGTATGTTTCCCAGTAGCTTGTACCAAACTGTTGTCCGCCACCTTTCACTGCGAGTAGAGACTTAAGTCGTTCGATTCCGCCATCCTTGTTTCTTTTGATGCGTTTAACTATTTTGATCCTATGGCCCTCTGCCCCTTGGGCAAATCTGTTAATGACCAAGTCTGTCTATAGTCGACGGCCTCGACTATCAGATATCCGTTACTCAGCTAAGAAAAAAGCGCCACCTATCGTTCTTTCCTACCGGCTGTTTACGATAATTCAGGTTTCATGTTGGCGCTAGTGAATCTTCGTAAGCACCAGATCTTCTGGATGATGGATCCCTTCTGACATCATCCCTCTCGCACTCTAATGAGCATGCTAATTATTTATTATGGCTTGGATACAACTTTTTAATAAATGGTCCGTTTCAAATAATTTGACTATGATTGTGATTTAAAATATATATTTATTATGGGGCTGAAACGCTTCCTTCTAACTGTTACATACTTTCCGACGAATCTAATACAGTCTTTTACTCTCCGAGTAACGGCTATAATTAGATCTATAGCTCCTGCCCGCTGTTAGCAAGTAGCTTAAAATTAGTTTTTAGCATTATATAAATAAATACATGAATTTAAAATCGGAATATCAGTAAATACCTAAAGTTTTTCGCCTCTAGCGAAGCTCTAATTATTTTAAAGTAAGTTAGGTCAGTAACTGGTATATTACAGACATTTGACTATAAAGTTCCTTCTTGTTGATTTCGAAAGCATCTAAAAAGGATATATTTTTGAAAAGGTAAGTGTTTGAAAGGACAAAGCTGTTCGGGAAACAACCAAACACCCAACTTGGTTTATTTAATAAGATTTCTCAATCGTATGATTAAGGCTTGTACCCACCTTTGGAGTCATCAGGCCCAACCGAACCCCGGTCATCAGATGTGCGACATGCTGCTTGCGGCTTTCCGGATTCCGGTCGATCCACTTAACGCACAATTTCCATACAAGGTCCTCTTCCCGTGTGTTAAGTTCATCATCGTTAATTATGCTGTAAAAGTCCTTAACGTTCATGTCCAGAATATCAGTATTGCGGCTTGCCACTTCCGTAAAATATCTAAGCGTGTAGGTTCGTGCCTTCAAGTGCAGGTCCTCCAAAAACCGGAACCTGTTGTAAAAATAATTAAAATGGTCTTGTTCTTTTGAAAACCAGCAAACCAAATATATGGGAAATAGCCGAGGAGTATTGAAATGTCAACTCACCGTGCGAATCCCATGATACTAACACAGTTTTCCGCGGTAAGGGTGTTACTGAGGAAATCCTTGCACTGATTTACCAAACCTACCATGCCAACATAGTCCGCGCATGTGAGAAGCTCGTGCACATTGTTTTCGGTGATGCGGGTTTGGCGCAGGTAGGCGTACTGAATTACACAGTTCATTATGGTTGCGCTTATGCCGGGGATGTGGATGACCGGACTCCGCTCGGCGGCAACTGTTCTAGTTGTTCGCTCGCGGCTGTCAGCACTGAATCCTGTAAACTGAGCGCTAACGGGGAGATGTGGCAATGGAGCATATGGAGGTCAAGTTGAGAACTCACCGAAAGTACGAGCTGCATGAACACATTATTGCCCGGTGTACATTGAAAGCCTGCTCTCCCACCGAAATCTGGGCATCGCACAAAAGATTCGCCTCGCGCAGCTCATTTAAAGTATTAAGGGCCTCATCGCTTACGGTGGGAGTCAAAGTGATAGCAGACTTCCTGTTACAATCGGTGCAGACAAGCTTGTCTTCCGCGTGATTACCGTTCGCGTTCAACTCCACCAAGTCCATTGTTAGGTCGGGGGTCAGTACGAGTCCAAGAGGCAGACCCTCATTGACGCTGCGAAGGTGGTTTTCGTATTGATTGCGATTCATTGGGAGAACGAGACAGCAGTTGCACCTCTTTCGGTTCTACGGTATAGGCCATCGTCTGATAGGGAGAAAGGAATGCCAAAAAGTAGTTATGATGCTTACCTTTTGAAATTCGTTTTGCAGATTTTTGCTTTTACTATGAAGAAGAAAAATCTCCGTGTTTAACTGAAGGAAAATGAATAGATACTTGATCGACAACAAAAAGATAGCTCTTGTAACAAAAAAGACTACTGACTCAGTACTGAAGTATAAGAGTACAAGATAAATGGTAAAGACAAAGGGACAACAATGTTTTGTCTGAAATTAAATGCCTTTCATGTATTTTTTGGTTGCTATAAACTTAAAACAATTTCAACCAGTTCTGGGTCAAACGTGACTGGCGATGTAAAGTACCGAGGATCTAATCATTGCAACCCTTCAGTGTGCAACACCTAGAAAAAAATACCTAAACTGCCCAAAAATGGCTAAGAACTTTAATAAAATTGGCCCAAACCTTGAGATAAGTCCATGTGTGGCCTAAGCTGTAGGAGTTCATGACCCACAGTTTTAGGTCCCTAATGGCCTTAAATGTGGACAATTTTTTGCCTACATTTTAGGTAATTGGCTGCTTAAAGATAGTATATATAGTACAAAAGCAATAGAAGGTAGAGACGGACATATATTCATGACCAGGATACTATCCAAGTCGATCCAGCCATGTCCGTCTTTCCGTATAAACGCTGCGATCTCGGAAACTATAAAAGCTGAAATATTGGGATTAGGCATGCAGACTCTAGAGATCCCTACGCAGTGCAAGTGCAAACCGCCCAAAACTGTGGCTCCTACAGTTTAAGTGCTAGAAAAATAAAAATTTCACTGAAATTTATTGTTCTCGTAAATACTCATCGATTGACCCAAAAAAAATGTTGCCACGCCCATCCTAAAGCGCACAAACTTCAAAAAATCGTCCATATGAACGCTGATATCTCGAAAACTAACAAAGATAGAGGGTTGGTACCTAAGATTTAGATTCCTCGTATGCAACCCAAGTTTGTTACGCTGAGGTGGCACGCCCACTCTTACGCCCACAAGTTGGCGTCCACAGTTTTGATGTTAGAAAAACCAATTTAACTGAAATGTATATTTCTCGTCCACACCTATCGATTGACCTAAAACGTATTCTACGCCCACTCTAAAGCCCGCAAACCTCCCTAGATGAAAACCAATAACGACAGAGGCAGACAATAATAAATGTATTTATGCATGTGTGTGTGTTAATAGTTGCAGGGCGAATTGCGCGGCAAAGCGAAAAGCGTTGCCGGCGCTAAGAGAGAGAAGAGCGGCTAAATTATGCAATTTAAGCAATTTGTCCTTTTTGTCTCCCCCTCTATTGTGATGGTAATTGTCCCAATTGTAATATGTTGTCCCAATTCAGATTGTACTCCAACCTTTTAGTTAGAGTTCTCTTTATTCAACGAATTCTTAACTCTATTACAATTCTTTGTACAGCTACTGAGAGTGTAGCCAGAGACGCCGGCAGAGCAGCGTTCAATGCTTAGGTATAGATGTATGTATTAGTAGCCGCTGGCGAAGAGTCGCCGCGGAGGAGGAGAGGTCTTATGTTCACTTGGTGACAGAGCGGTCGCGCATGTCAAATATCAGACTCAGCACTGTCCAGTCCCAGCCCAGTCCCAGTGCACTAAACGGCGATCATATTACCGGGCACTTGAAGAACTGTTTTGGACTTGTATTTGTGGCTTATTTATTGTGGCCAAGTGCTACAATGTATATGTAGTAATATTAAGGCAAAACACTGAGTACAGTGTGCATTCAATATGTGAACATACTACATCTTTCTCCTTTAGAAAAATAACGTAGTTATATGGAGTTATTTTCTTAGTATATTAATTTGTATATAACAATAATAAACAATAAACAAAAATAAACAATATATATATATAAATTTATGCATTTTAATTTTTAGTGTTTTTTTTGTGTAAATATGTTTTTACTGCTATGTATGTCCATACTTGAAATATTTGTAAAGTTTTAAGTCTATCTTTAAGTATTGTTTGCTTCATATTTTTATTGTTTGAAATTATTATATTTTCGTTATCTTCTAAACTTTCTACAGTATATGGTCCAGTATATTTAGAATCTAGCTTATGTCCTGTTTCATTTTTCAATAAAACTTTATCTCCTATAGATATATCTATGTCATTAGCCGTAAGGTCAAAAAATTCTTTGTTTTTCCTCTTATTTTCCTCTATCATAATTCCACATCTTTTATGTTCTATTTCTAATCTATATTTACTCTCTCTAGCATAATCATCTATGTTATATATAGGCTCTATGTTTTTTATGGTATTAAATTTGTGCCTAACCGAAGTAGACACTTCCGGGTCACACCGCGGGGCAAGGGGGTAATGAGCACTTGTCGCTCGCAGGGGGCGCTATGATGGCAGGAAGATCGCGTCGCGGCAATGGTAACGATGGTTACTGCGATGCCGGACCACAGGCGATGCTGGAGCTGCGCTGAGGGTGAGCTAGATGCTTGATTTGTTGGGTGTGGTCATGTTGAGTACCTTTGGGTACGAACATTCTCCCCCCCCCATGGAGGAGTACCCTCAATTAAGTCGTGATGTCGGTCAGGTGGATCTTTCCTTCAACTGCGGTTCACGTTTATTATTCAGGTCCTTCACATCTTCTAGATGCTGCTTAACACTCCCCATTGCGATAAAATTGACATTACCGTGGGGACTGAAGTTGTGCCCTCGTAGCACTTGATCATTTGGCACGTCTATAGTATGTGGACATTCTGCAACAAAACTAAGATATTTCTTGGTTAGGTTTAGAAATGTTGAACCAAAGTCAGCCTTCTTGTAGGTTTTAAATTGATGAGAAGTCGGTTCTATATTCATCGGATTTTTATCTTTTGTTGGCTCATAAGCAGCGTTCGGTCCTGCAAAATCACTTCTGCCTTCTACCAGAATAGGGTTGATTTCCGTATCAGATGAGGTTTCTTTATTGAGATAACCTGTGATTACATAACCAAGCCTAGTGCCTTGTGCCAAAGGTTTATTAGGTCCTAGTTCAAGAAGTTCACCGGTTATTACACGAGAATACACCTCAGACCCTAAGGTTAGTTCAATGGGTCCAGGTTTCCGAAAGTCAGGATCTGCTAATGGCAGTCCCTCGGGAATATTAAGATCGGTTGTAATCGGTACTGACGGTTGGTCTGTAATGACTGTGGGCATAATAAATACCTCTAATAGTTTTTCAAACCCTGATGTACAGGATGAGAGCTTTAGTGTTGATCTAATTACTGTTGATATCTTTCCTCCGATTCCAGATATTTCAATCGGTGAACCTTCCTTAAGAGATAGAAGCTCTGCCATTCTCCTTGAGATAAGATTCACCTGTGATCCACCATCTATTACAGCGCGACATGTTTGTAATTGACCGTTTGGCCCTTGTAATGAGACCTTCGCGGTCGCGAGCAGAGTATATCCTCCTACGTTGTCGTAGCCTGCAATGGTTACTGCGCCGGCCACTGGATTGCTAGTTGGTCCTTTGTGTAACAGTGAATGGTGCCGTTGCTGGCAGACTCGACAATTGGTCGGTGATCCACAGTTTTCAACCATATGAGCTGTCGACAAACAATTTGTGCATGCTCCTATTTGAATAATGGCTTGGCGCCGTGTTTTGGGGTCCATTTCCTGGAACCGGCTACATGCTCTAAGATTATGTGGTCCTAGGTGACAAATCTTACAGCTCTCTTCGTTGCGAACTGACTGATGGCGGAGTGTTGCTGTAGGTTGAGCGCTTATCGTCTCCAGCATGCAAGCGCGCCGCTCAACAAACGTCAGTACACTCCATAACGTTGGAATTTCCGTTGGTGCATCCGCTATATTTTCCAGAGCAGCTAGCGACTGCTGGTCTAGTTTTCTTCTGATAAGAAAGCACAGGATTGGATCCCAGGATTTTGTGCTGACATCGAGGTTTTTAAGAGTACTTATTGAGTTTTTTATAGTGTCATGTAAGGCCCTTAGTTGGCGCGAGGAGCCATCAATAGACATATAGTCAATAATTTTTCAATGGCGGCGAATACTAGTATTTTTCCGTTCCGGCCTTTAAACGCAACCAGGTGTCGTCATAGCCACCCTGTGAGAAGGCTGTGTCTGTCAAGACGTTTCTCGCTTCACCACGAAGCGAACTCTGTAGAATATGTAGTTTTTGACTGGCCGAATATGGTTTATTATGTACCAATTCCACAAAGAGATCATGGAACCGGGGCCAGTCTAGATACTCGCCGTTGAACTCCGGAATGCTAATTGGCGGAAGTGCCAAGTTTAGGCTCTGATTTAACTGATTTAGCTTACCGGAATAATAGCCGTCTCGGTGGCGTCGGTCGGCAGAATCCTTGCCATAATTCTTAATGAGCTGTTGGATTTTCCCTTGCAGCTCGTTTTGTGTGTCTAGTAATCGATTGTGTAAATCGATTCCTGTGTGACTTGTTTCCTCAATGAATGAAGTAGACATATTGTGTGTCTTGGAAACAAAGAATCTTGTGAAGCTAGATGAAGCTGAGTATCCTGTGAAGCTGGATGAAGCTGGCGTTCCTGTGACGCTGTAAGAAGAAGCGTGTCCTGTGAAGCTGAATGAAGCTGTGATTCCTGTGAAGCTGGATTAAGCTTAGTATCCTGTAAAGCTGGATGAAGCTGGGTATCCTGTGAAGCTGGATTAAACTGAAGTTCCTGTGACGCTGGAAGAAGAAGCGTATCCTGAGAAGCTGGATAAAGTTGTGAGTCCTTTAGTGGGAAGGGGGTTGCTTGAGTGTGATCCTTTGTTGTTAAAGGATCACGTCGGGGTCACCAATGTGTGTGCCTAACAGAAGTAGACACTTCCGGGTCACACCGCGGAACAAGGGGGTAATGAGCACTTGTCGCTGGCACGGGGACGCTATGATGGCAGGAAGATCGCGTCGCGGCAATGGTAACGATGGTTACTGCGATGCCGGACCACAGGCGATGCTGGAGCTGCGCTGAGGGTGAGCTAACGTGGTTAGCTGCTAGTTGAAATAGTGTATTACGAGCCCTATTCCCAGATGTAGGAAGTAGAACCGCGGAGTTATGAGATGCGGTGATAACTGACTTATTCTTCATTTGGTACATGTTTATATACTACTTGTACCACGGAAGTTTAGTGTAATGATTAGTGAAGTAGGCTATAT